ACCCCACCGCCTCTCCTTCCTCGCCTGTCCCTTCTGAAGAGTCTATAGCCATCCATTGCAGCACTCCAATCGTGAGAGTCACCCCACCATGTTTCTGTGATGGTTTTCTGATGATCTTCCCTCCCCCGTCACCATGATGCCAAGCAGCAGCCCTGGGCTGAGCCTTGCCACTGCCTCAGTTTCCCTTTCCTCAGTGGATCCTGCCCCCTGCGGACTCTGAAACCTACTGATGGACAGGGCTGACATGTGAGAGCTTGTGCTGGCAACTGCCTGCCCCGTGAGCCCAAAGCCACCAGGGGGTGCAGCACCAGGGGACAAGAAGCCAGTAAGCACAGGCCATGGAGTGTCAAACACTTTGCTTACCAAGAAGCACGACCCCCCCATTACACACATGCAGCGAGGCACCCCATGAGTCCCCGTGCCACTCCTCTGCCTGGCACTGGGCATCCACAGCTGGGTCGAGGTAGAAACCCTGAGGCTTCCTCCTCCCGCGGCATTTACCTGTGTCACAAACTTATTTTCTTTCCAGAGCTGCTGCGGAGCCTGCTCCTGGATGGTCTTCTTGACAGAGCATGGCGGGCGGTAGGAGTCGGTGTAAGTGCTGATGGGGGTCTTGTGTTTTTTGGAGAAGAGGAACATGGTGCAGCAGCCTGCAGGGACAGGAGCGCTTGGTGTCCTGGAGGGTCCCAGGGATGCCCCACCAGATCAGTGGCACTGCGTGGGGCTGGGGGCTCCCAGCCCACACAGGAAAGGGAACGGGGCTGGTGCCACTGCTCTGCCAGTCCCAGGTGGTGCTTACATCATCAGTGATATCACAGTGCAGGAACAGGGGGATTTGATGACTGTCAGTCCTGTGGCTGTGCTTCCAACGATAGCAGGTCCTGGGTTAGGACAGAGAAATTACTGCCTGCATCCTTCCCAGCATCCCTCCATGGGTGCTGCACCCTCCTGGCTCCATCCTGGCTCTGGGCTTCCTCCCCTCCTGCAGGCAATTACCTTAACAATAGTAGGAAACAGTTTCAGCTGGTCCTAGTCAAGATAATTTTATTTTGTGACATGCAGGAGCAGTGACTGTGGATTTTCCAGCCCCTCTCTCTCCCACATTTCCTTGGAAATCCTGCAGCAACCCAGCTGCGTGCACACAGCACCGCACCGGTGCAGCCAATGCCCAGGGCACAGCACCAGGCATTGCTGTCCCAGCCTGCTGGGGTAGCCAGGGAAATTATCGCCTGCTCTGTCTCCCCTTTTTAATTAAAAAGCTGGATTTAGGTGATCCTGTGTGGCTTGTTTGCTCTTCTGTCCTGAGTGATGGGCTCTGCAGTCAGAGTGAGTGATCCTCATCCATCTCAGTGCAGAGGCAGCTGGGTTACGCCAGGGAGGGATGGCATGACCTGGGTTTGCTTTTCCCCAAGCTGGGGAGTCGAGCAGAAACCCCTGCCCCTGCAGAAACCCCACTCTGGCCTGGCTTGTCACACTGTGCCACCTCAGAGACCCGCTCTGTTCCCAGCTCTGGCCCCATGAGGGCTCTCAGAAGCCCAACCCCTCTGCTACCACATTTTTGGAGATGACTGGTGAAGACTCATGTCCATCTTGGCAGGGTGGATGCCAACCCACCCCCCTTAAGGGCTGCCGAGCCCTGCTCGGTTTGCTGTGGGGGATGGTGGGGCTGGTCAGCCTGGGGCACCCGAATGCCTCCCTACAAACGTGATTAATGAATCGTTAGAGATTAAATGAAGAGAACAAGCTGCTGTTGATTTTCACACCCCGCTGGTCTCTGTTGAGGCAGGCTTAGGCTCTCCATCAGCCCCATCCCCTCCTGAGAGCCAGTGGGAGGCTGGGAGGGAAGGATGGACACGGGTGTGCCCACCCCAGCACCCCCCAGCTCTGTGGTCTTGGAGCACTCCAGGGCATAGATCTGGGGATCACCGCTCTGCAGAGAGGTGGAGTCCAAGCCTCTCGGTTGCGGGGGGACTAATCCCGCACCAGACTGGCTGCCAGCCTGAGCCACTGGCCCCCCCCATGGCTGTCTCCTATCCCCGGCAGTCCCTGGGGTTTGCAGCTGCTGGCGTTGGGACTTTAAAGTCAGTGCTCTCGTGCCAACAGCTCTGAGGGGCAGAAACGGCTGCAATGCTGGAGAAAAGGTTATTTCACCCATCAGTGTCATACAGATGCAGCACTTCTTTCCGCTCATCTGCAGCCCAGACGCAGGGGCTGGGTCCAGCCCGTGAGCCTTCCCGCTGCCTTGGGGAGAAGCATTTCCCAAATGCTGGCTGGGGGCTGACTGGCCCCGGCGGGTTTACCTGTGCCATACGGCACAGCTCCGCACCAGCCGCTCCTACTGGGCCCAAGCAGGCTGGTATTGGCCATGGTGTGAAGGCTGGCACCCCCTGATTTCAGTATCCATGATTGCTGGGGGCTCAGAGGAGATCGTGCAGCTCGTACCCTCTCATCCCGGTTTGCTCCAATGAGAAAGGCTGGCAGGCTGGTTTTCATATGTATGCTTTTTAATATCATTAATTCTGTTACACTACACACAACCAGTAACAATGATAAATACTGCAATGGAAATGTTAAAAAAAATATTATACGTGTTTCATGTTTTTGGAAAAAACCCCACATTTTAAAATAAATTAATGCATAAAACTGATGGTAGAAAAAAGAAAACCCAAAACAAACCACAACACAACTGATCTGTTTAAGGCAATACTCTACGCAGACGGTAACAGAAGTACAACAGTGTGCTACATGTTCTGAACAGGAAAAAAGGAAAGAAAAGAAAACCCATACAAGATGCAGATTGATGCTTCAGGAGTGAAAAAACTCCCAAAACCAGATAGTAAAACCAATGGCCAAGTTAAGTGCAGCATTAATACACTCTGCATGTCAAATGATTAGCAGGTTCCTAACATGGACTAAGGTCAAGCTACAACAAATTTAACTTCCTAATTAAAAGGTTATTCAGGTCAAACCCTACATTAAACTCTACTTTGTATTTGGCTGTTTCAGCTATGTTTCACTATATGCAAGGACAGCCGGAAATTCATCTCCTGCTCTTGAGATTAACGCAAAGGTCGGGAGGTCTCTCCTCCTGAAAGATACTTCCATTAACTACATCCAAAAAGGATCTCACTTTTGGTGATCCTGAAATGCCTCCTGCCACCCCATCCCCTGGGGCACCAGGCACCGCATGGGGAAAGGAGACCTGGGAAGCATTTGCTTGGGTTGACTTTCTTCCAAACTGAGGACATGAAATGGAAGTGCAGATTTGATCCAGACTCGGAGGAGTGCTGTTTCCCTGTCTGCCAGGAATGTCTATCTGGAGCCTGCTGAAAGCACTTTGCCAGCATGGGAGAAACCCAGTATGTATCCAGGCTTTGGATACAGCCACGACATTTGCTATTAAGGTTGGTGCGAAACTCCATACCTGCCTGGACAGCCAATGAACCCCAATTATTAATGCAGCCCAGAACTTGGCCACTGGAAGGTGGACAATAATCATAATGCCAAAAAAATCCCCCTTTCCCTCAAAAAAGAAAAGAAAAGGGACAGTAGCCACTTCCTGCCAGCTTCCCCCTGTGGATCCCCATCAGCTGCCACCTACACAAGACTGGCAGCGCCACATCTCACCAGCATCGACCCAGTACATTCCCAGTAAGGTGCATGTCTGCAAGGTGCTGCCAGGGGGCAAAGAAGCTTCTTGGGACACAGTCAGAGCCTCCTGTACTGTGCTGCTAGAGTGTGTGCAGAGGAAGCTACGGTACACGAGGAAAGAAACCCAAGTGGAGTTACTAGACTTGTGATGGCCAACAACTGTCCGGGCTGCCTTGGGTTTGAGTGGGAGAAGGGGATGCAGAACTGGGCTGAGAGTCACTTTGGTGCAACTGCCTCTGATGCTCATCACTAGTGCATGGGGTGGCGGGGAGGAAAGGCGATGGCTGCTTTGAGAAAAGAGGAGTTGAAGGAGGATGTGTGCAATATAACAAGGCTTGCAATTCTAGGACTAACCACTGGACACGGATACTGAAGATTACCTGTGACAACTAGCTATCTTTCTACTGTCGCTGCTCCTTCCCCCACTTCCTGGTCCGATTCTTCTTCAGTCTGGGAAGCCGTGGCTGTTTGGCATGATGGCCAGCGCCGACTTTCCCACCCCAGTCTCCACACAGCGCACGGGGTGACTCAGCTACAGGACGTACAATGAGGTCTGGAAGTCGCATGTTAGGCACAGACCAGATCTGCATGCAAGTAGTGCCTGCTTTCAGACCCTTCAGGAAGCTATTTAACAGTGGCTCATTTCCTTGATTAAACTGAAGGTTCAATAACCTCTGGAAGGAGGTTATTGAAGGAAGGAGTAAAAATGGTTAAAAATGTGCAAAAGGGGGGAACCCCCCCACACTTTCTGAATTTTCTCCCCTGCAAAGACTTCATCCTCTGCAAGAGTCTTTCTCCCTGCAGGACTACAGTCCTACCAGCGTGTCTTACAGCGCCCTGCTCCAGCGCAGCAAGAGCACAGCCGCCAGGCATCCCACCCGCGCCTCTGCTGCAGGTCTCCAGCCCGTACCAGGAACACATGGGCTGGCAGGCCTGGGACCTGGCGCTTGGGTCCCAGACCTCCTGCAGCACTGAGACCGGGAGGGTGGAGGCGGCCAGCTTGGCTTGCTGGATCACACCAAGGTTTTACACTAGCCTGGCGATCCCTCAGCACCACAGCCTTCAGATGGGTGAAGAGAAATCCCAGCCTGCTCTCTGGCTTACCCACCATCATGGTTGTTGGATCTCCAGCTGGTCTGATGTTTGCCTTGGGTTTGTCTCAGGACAGAGGCAGCTACAAGCCAAACACAGCTGCTACCACAGCTTTTCTGTGCAAAGAAACCGAGCAAAGAAATCTGTGAGCTGGGGATGGAGATGAAGGTGATAAAAACCAGAAGGGCTGTTGTGAAGAGAGCTTGTCCAAGTTTTCCAGCTCTCTCTGTGGATCTGTATTACATCTCCCAACAAACTTCGTGTCTCCCAAATGATGTGGGCTCCAGGAAAGTGGGTAACAAATGGAGTTGCACCTTTTTTGGGGTACAGAAGCAAGAAGGCAGCCTTGGTGGACAGCAGTGCTTCCCAGTGAGCTCACCTGGGGCAGCTGGATGGGCAACTAGGGGGGAAATGCTACTCCGGGAGGGCAAACATCTCGCCAGGTAATGGGACTTATTTCAGCACGGCCTTTCCATGGCCTTTTCTTTTCCTGGTGCCTGCTGTGCTGGTTTCCAGTGACACGTCTGAGACATTTTAATGAGGCTTCTTTTGTACTTTCCACTCACTGATGCAATCCCACCACCTGTATCACCATTTGTTACTATGGAAATGGCTCCACAGACCAGGCACAACAAGGCTCGGAGCTACCACCAGTGGCAAGTGTGTCTGGGAAGCAATGGGAACAGCTGTTCTCCACAGGCATCAGGGAAAGCTGCAACCTGTCCTGTCAGTGTCCGTGCTGCTCTGTGACATGGCTTGCTGCCCGGTTGCATGGCCACAGTGCTCTGCTCCTTGTAATCTCGATTAGTCCCCAACCTTTGCCTCCCCAGCAAGCTGTCAAAGCAGTGCTGAGCCAGGCAGCATTTAGCTGCTGTGATCCTGGGATTGCCACCAATGTCAAGGGAGGCAAAGGAGGGGATGTAGCTGTAATTTTTTGGAAGCGATGCAGCAGCTCAACTGCATAATACAGGGAGTTAAAATACAGATGCCAGTCCCTGTGAGAAACCTGCATTAATATTCTGTAGGTAATCCCAGGTCACAACCTCTTCCTCTATGCTAAATTGCTGGCCCTTCTGCTGCAGGGCTTGTGTGGCTTTGTAAGACAGACAGGTGTGTCTGATGAGATGCGGTTCAAGGTTTGGAGCAATCCCTCTCACAGGAAAGCCTTGAAAGGAAGTGACAAGGATGCAATGTCCTCCTAGAGGTGAAAAGCACCTTAAAATAAAGACGTTCCCATGCCTTCCTCTTAGGCTCAACCTAGTCCAGCTTGCCCTGTGGCACTGCCCATCTGTGCAGATGTTTCTTTTAGATATGAGGAGTAGAAATAGGAGGGTGATGCAAAGAGTCAGCTCTGAAGAGTGGTAGAGGTCAAAGCCAGGGTATATTCATGGTGGCACATGTAGCCTGTGCTTGCTGAGCCAAGCAGCAGCCAAGTGACAAAGCCTACTTCATTCTAGGTAAGAGTGGCCATACCCCATGTGAGCTTGAAGGCGAACGGAAAAGTAAAGGAAGCATCTAGGCGAAAGTGCCAGTTTATACCGTCAAATCATGATATGGATGCTGAAAGTCAGAGCACGAAACTGCTGTGGGAATATCCTAGATGAGCCCTTCAATGCCTTCTTCCCTCCCATCAGCACTCACTATGCCAGCTGCACTCCTCTAAGTTCCTTAACTCTACTAGCAGTGGATGGTGCTGTTGGGCCACCAAATCTTCTTACATGTTCCCTGTGGCAGCATGCAGATTGAGAAGCCAGTTCTGCAAGAGCCAGCTGCCAAATAACTGGGAAACGCATCCTTGCTAAATATCTTCCCCCAAAGCTGTTTAATCTTTCTACTAACCTCCACCCTGCAGCCTTCTGGCACATGCAAGCAATATCAGAAGCTGGTAAACAGAGGGAAAGCAGAGTAGTACTTTGAAAATATGCATAAAATTTCTACAGCATGCTTCTGCATCTTGCTTACAGAGCTATCCTATCAATGGTGCCTGCCACACACTTGGCAACATCTATGCAGGGTGGTGGCAGCATCTTGGGAAGGCAGGTTTCTCCCCTGTGCTGCAGAAGGGATTGGACATCAAGAGGGGATGTGACTTGCCTGAGGTTAAAGCAAATGTGTACCACATGCCAACAGCAGCAAGGGACCCCAGATCTCCTTTCTGTGCTCTAAGTCCAGCAGACTTTCCACAGTAGTATTTGGCTGCGGTGCCAGCTTGGGGACATGGTATTTCTGGGGTGTGCATCTGAAAGCGAGCTTTGCTCCCTGCTGGTATCAGCACTGTACTGAGATAGATTAACTCGGACAACTGGGATCTGCCCTAGGCCAAGACAGCGCTTGGCAACCTCTCTAGTTACTGCTTGTTTTCCTTTTCCTGTCATTCCATCTGGTGCCCAGCTGGGTCCTTCCTTTCTTCAAAAGCATCTTCATGTTTCTGTGGAGTCACATACAGGGCGCTGTACTTTTCAAGCCTCCTACATGCCGTTGTTCAGCTTGCAGGCCAGCCCAAGGACACAGACTCTGCATGGAGAGGAAAGGATTCTGCTCAGGATCACAGACCAATGTGTCAGCCAGCACACAGCTGAGCAGAGCGTGTGCCTCCTTTTGGGAAAGGAGCTGGAGAGACAAACCAGAAGCAGCTGAGTCCATCCTGTCCATGGGGGAGCATCCTGAAGTTCCTTTCAAAGTCCATGCAGCAGGCTTGGTTGCCTGCTTTTGCAGTCGCAAGGCCAAGTGCACGTGTTGGGGGTAGACATGCAGCAACGTCAGATATGATCCAGTGGCTCTTCCAAGGGATCACTTATCACTGTCTGATAAGACATTGAATGAGCCTTTGGGATGGTTGCCTGGACATCAGCCTCCTTTCAGCCAAAGTTTATTATATACAACCACCAGAAAAGCAGACTAGACCGTGTTATCTAAAGACCTTCCTCAACACTAGGAGGACGCTCCTCCTCACAGAGACATGTGGAAATGGGGAGTTTGCAGACTGGAGAGACAGAGTTGAGTGCCGAGACCCTGGACTTCAAAGCCAGCTCACATTTAAGGGCAAAATTAACATCTGTTAAAAGGAAAGGACTTGCTTAAACTCAGGTAATTTGGTGACTAAAATTATATAAAATCCTAATAAAAAGCCATTCTGGCTTTAGGAGGCATCAAATGCAAATTCCTTTGTGGAGGCGCCAGCATCAATATCCTTAAATCCTATTTGCATGGTAATTTAGATGGATAGCAATGCAGCCTTTCATACTTCATGGTATTCCCCTTGGTATTCTGTACAACTTTGGACTGAAAATGGGGCCTGAGAAGACCATCTGGTTTGGTGCAAAGACTGGAATAAGGAACTATTTGCTTTCTTGCATGCAACCTGCATTTAGGAGAGTGCCCAGCAGCTCTGCAGATTTTAGGGCTTTATAATGCTGCGACAGAGTCAGGGTCCATGCTTTTTGCTTTTGCCTTCTCTAGGCCATGGTGGCAGAGACTGGTCTAAAGAGAGCAGTGCCAGAACAGCCATGTATCTATACACCTTCCCGGGAAGTCACCACAGTGTAACCTCCAATGAGGGCACAAGGAAAACCTTCTGGCTGAAGCAAAGGTCTGAACATGAGACCAGATAGGGGGAGCCAGCCCAATCTGTGCTTAACACATACTGATGGGCTGTCCACCATATTCCATATGTGGACATACGTGCCAACAAACGTGCCCCGTGGTCATAACCTGCTTAAGGGGCTGCGGTTCAGAAGGGTTAGTGTTCAGTTTTCTATGATAGCCACATATGCATTGCCTTAATCTATTCAGCCTTCCTGATAACGACCCTACACAGGTAACTACTTTTCCCCACCCTTTCTACTTTATTCCCCTAATAAAATATATGAACACAAAGCATAGAGAGGAGAAGCCAAAAAATTGCCATTTTATGGTCCTGTACTGTCAGGCCAAACCAGCTATTTGTGCAACCAACTCCTTCTGTGTGCAGGGAAAAACACTTGGCCTGTGCTTTGATCTGTACTTGGAAGAAGCACTGGGTGTAACATTTAAATTCATCTCCCTCCCTCCCTAAAGGGTTGTGCTAGAAGCAGATGCACATCACACAATGCAAAGGGCTGTGGACAGCTGCAGGGTGGCAGGGTTGCAAAATGCCTCAGGGCACATGGCAGGCAAAAACCAGCAATAGGGGCAATAAAAGGACTTGGTCGTGGTGCCATGGGGCAGTGGTTTTCAGGGAAGGTCTGTCCTTCACAGGAGAGGTGTTAACCCTGGGAGATACAGTGTCAGCAAGCCTCGTTCTGTCTTAGACTGAACATGATGGCAGCATGACGAGACCTGTGGGACCTGCAGTCCTCCACAGCTGATCCATGTTAAAGGATGGCTTGTTGCTCTAGCAGGCACACTGAAATGCCCCGAGCTCCTGAGCAAGGGCTGTGGGAAAGGCTAAGCATGTGCAGCCCGGCTGGAAGGCACAGAGACTGACCCAGAAGGATAAATGCGATGAAGATGTTGCATGGTATCAATGCTGAACTGCAAAGTCCCTCTTTAGAAGAGTGAAGATTTAAAGAGACTCAGTCATGTCCTATAGGATTTGGTTTGACCACGGTGATTCTGTTAGGTTTTGACTACGTTCCCCATTAAAAAAAAAGACTCCTTAAGGAATGTTTTTCCCTTTTATCTTTTCTCTCTACACAGTGTTGTTAGAGCCCTTCCCCCACCTCCAGACAACTTGCTAACTTCAACCTGAGCTAGCACTGGAGAGGAAAGCAGGCACACGAAGGAAGAAGCAAGAATTGGAGACCTGATGCTTTGTGCTTCTTCAGAAACGTTTTGGAAATATTCCCCCCCAGCATTACCAGGTGGTGAGAAAGGGAGAGGAATTCACTTGAGGAACACTCTTCCTAGAGGAGCTGGCAAGTTAACCAGCACTTCTGCACAAGGAGGCAGGGGTGCTCAGTAAACAGCACCACTCAGTCCTCTTTCTATGGCCTTTGGGATGGTTACCTGGACATCAGCCAGGGTGGCAGTGTGCTGTTTTAAGGAGGGGGGGCAAACATAGCTTTAACAGCTGCCCATACCAGCTAGTGAATAATAAAGCCCAGGAATCTTGTGTGCCTGCTCTTTTGCTCATGCTGTGGATGGTATCATGCTTTGCACTGCACAGAGTGAAACCCCAGGATGTTAAATAACTCTCCTCCTAATCATGAAGAGGACTTCTTAAAGACTCAGCTCACTTCATGAAGATGGGGGATCTGTCTGTCGGGGTGGAGCTCAGGCTCTGCCTTGTGACTCAAGAATTCTGATGGGAAGCTCAGAATTGCCCTTGCTTTTTCCCTTCCCCAGGCTATAAAGCAAGTAATGACCCAAGGCAGGCGGTCCTTCCTCCTGGCAGGGCAGGAAAACACACAGTTGTGCCTGTGGCAAAAGATTTCAACACCGAGAAAAATACCAGCCCAACCCTCGCCTGAGCCCCGCACATGCTGAAGCCAGCAGTGTAAGACCGGCCAGGGAGAGGACACGTTTCCTAATTCCAGAAATGATTTTGCATTCAAACCAACCTGCTGGTCAACTGGCAATTCAGTCCAGCAACCTAATGTAACGCCAGGTTTCCTGACTATTCCAGCACCAAATAAAGACAATTGCTCCTGACATGGGACAGCTCTAACACAGACCAAGCCTGGTTCACAAGTGGGCAGAGATGGGATAAACCGTAGTTTCCTCTCATGCGTTTTTTTCAGCTGAAGCTGTTCATAATCCTGCTGTTGCTAAAAACTCCCCTAAAGTCTGACACCACCACACAGATGCCTTCAGCGTCAACAGATCTCTCCCACAGACACCAAGAGACGCAGTGTCAAGAGAATACCAAGAGTCGAGCACTATAAAAATGTGCTTTCTTCAACTAGCTTTTCCAGCACTGACCTTCAGACTGTACAGCTCTAGTCCTGTCTTGTGCAGGACTCATTTTTTCTTAGTTGAACAAAGTTTAAGATTTCTGGAAGCAGATGGGTCTCACAGGAATTAAGTATAGGCTGAAGTCAGTACATGTGATTGGACTGAACTCAGGAGTACGGTATTCTTGGGCAAGGACTGAATCCCTGAAGAGCATGGATGGATTGCAGATCGAATCTGATGTGTTTGGTGATAATTTAATGTGGAGCTAAGGGTAGATTGCATTGGATACGTGACTCGACAGCTCTAGCTAGTACTGACTCACAGTGAAATGCCACTTATTTGTCCTCTTCGCAAGTGAATGAATTGTGTCATGCTAGTCCTGGCAAGCCTTGCCCTAAGAAAGGATGCCCTGCTCCGTTCCCATTCCTGTGCCCCAGTTACAGTATCATTTTGGTTATGCAAATGAAACAGGTTTAGAGAATGAATTAAGAACTGACCTCCTCTCACTGGTAAAACTCCCTGACACCTCAGACTCACCCCTGATCTCGCAGATGGATTGGTTTCGGTGGGCTGGATGACCTGCAGCCCCGTCTGACCCTACCCGTTTTGGAGTAGACACCTTACAAAACATCCCCAGTGCCTACACAAACCAAGGAGGTATCTGTGGACTGCTTAGAATTCGCTCTCCAGACCAGTCAGTTCTGCCAGGCACTGCCTGGCACTTTGAGCAACTTCTCTTTTGTTTAACCATAGTTTAAAATAACTTATCAACCAATCATAAAATGAATTTTTTGGTTTCTCCTGGCTCCATGAACACAAAGAGGTGCACGTCCTACCATAGGAGGAAGCAATGGCTGTTAAGTTTTACAGTTATAGTGGAAAGCACTGATCACAGCCTGCCGGCCTCACTACTGGATGTGACAGGCGGTGGAGGAGGTGGCTTGGCAACACATGCAGGTAGGGTTGACCGATTTAGGGGGGATTAGGTCGAGGTCCTCGTCATCTGGGATCTCATCTAACCGGTACCCATCCTTTAGCAGCTGGATGTTCAAGTCTTGGTTGATCTGCTACAGACAAAGAGACAAACAGTCAAACACTTGAGACTTCTTACTTCTGATGGTCGGAAGATGAAGGAGGTCCCTTATTCTGGAATATATTTCCCGATCATTAGCAGCTGCCCCACCAATGAAAGAGTCCCAGTTTTTGACCACAGGTGAGGGCTGTCTTCTGTTCTAGCTTCTTCCAGAATAGGAATATCTGGAGTGAGATATTCCAGAGTAGCAAGTCATTACACTATTTTATTCTGGAATAATCTTTCCATGAAGACAAGCCCTCATTTAAAGTACCGTAATAATAATGTTAATAAACCAACTGACATCTGGGCAGTCCCTCCTCTCAGTCTCGGGTACACTATAGCAGTTGAAAGGTGGTAAAGCCTCTTGGCTTTTCGTAATCTCAGACTCAAGTGCTGTCCAACAATATCTGGGTGAACAACTTCATCAGGACCCAGAGACGGCCCAGATCATTTGATCTGGTCCCTGCTCTTGGCTGTTTCTCTGTGCTTCAGACGTATTTTGCCCAAGGAAGGGACACAAGGGGGAAGGGGTCCCAGCAGCTTGTGTGCAGAATGGCTGCTCAGCACCCTGGGTGTAAAATCAGATCCTGCAGAAGCAGTAGCCAGAGGCTGAGCAACTAATTCAAGAGAAAGCTTGGGAATATATTCAGAAACAATGAAGAGGGATTAACAAGCCTGAGCTTCCTGCCTTTTCTCTTTGAAAGGGCTAGAGTTCATATCTGCAAGTCCTCCCAAGAATTTCTGCCTGCTTCAAGTAAACACGCACTGGGTGACCCTGACTGCCCCAAGAACTGGAAATCACAGCACACCCTCAGATCCTTTATTTGTGTCCTTGGCAAGCATACGATTGCTGAGCTGGCATGACAGACAAGTCGATGCTTTTGCACCACAAGGGCCAACACTGCAGGACTAAGCAGAACTGGGAAAAGCTTGAGTGAAGCCAAAGGTAGCTGTGAAAACAGCCGACGGGCAGATCTCTGTGCCATAGCAGTGCAGGGATGGAGCCAACTGGATCACCAGGGAAGAAAGAAACATGACACAGTTTCTGCCATGGCCCCTTCCAGACTCACAGAGTCTATACCACTAGTGAATTCATTGTGTAGCCATTTCTGGCAATACAAGGCCACTCTAAGCCATTTTTGGCTGCTCTACTATTAGCATTCATGGCAAGGTTGGCAGGAGAGAGTGTAACTCACCTCAGCTGATGAGTATCCCGAGGAGGAATATCTGGACATGTCAAAGTCATCATCACTGCAGGGAAAGACAAGATATAGCAAAGAAGGAAACAGTTAGAGAGACCTGTATTTCCTGGTTAGCCCTATCTCTCTCATGCTGTGAAGCTGTCCTTGAAGGACAGAGAAGTTACATCAAGGGAGCCTGGAGAGCAATTTTCATCTGTGACCCTCAGATCTTTCCATCATAGTGCTCTTTACTCATGTCTCTTCCTACTTGTTTACACACACAGAGCAGTAACCACAGTTATGGCATATGCCAACGGGCACAGCAAGGAAGAGTGCGAGCGGCCTGCAAGAGCGGTTTCAGCAGGAGTTAGCTTCAGTGCTGCAGTCTGGCTTGAAAACTCGCTTGCACCATAATGTGTATCATCTTATTAACACTTTGCATACCTGTCCGTATCCAGGGCTACCAGTGGCTTTTCATCTGGACTCTGGTCTAATGACGAATAGCCCTTATTGGGAACGACGAGCCTGAAATAATTAAATGTTGTCCATTATCCACACAGTAAAGCTCAGTACCACACCTAGTCTAGGGCAAAGCTATAAGATAGTTAGGTTTTCCCCGTTTCAATTCCTTGCAAGCCCTCCCTTATCAGTGAAGATGTTTAAGTGGGTGCAATTCAGAGGAAGCAAACTGTGTCTCTGGGTAGCTTAGAGCAGCTTCACAGAGATGAAAGCTGGACATGCCTTGGGAACATGCTCCTCCCTGGAAGAAAAAAACATTGGGACACTCCGTGCTTCATTCTGGTGAACCTGTTTGGCTAGCACTGCTTGTCCTATCAGATTGCTCATTTTTGTGTTGCTTTTTTTTCCTAGCAATGAGCACATGACACTAGCAATATGTAAATAGGAGAAGGGGGCTAGGGAAAGGCAGAGGCTCAGTGCTCCTACTATTCTACTATTGGAAATCAGGGATGTGGTCTTTCTGCCTGAGTCCCTACCCAGCACCCGCCCCCCCCAACACTTCTGAGGTCTCAGTCCTAAATTTAGTAATATGAGAAATATGAGCTGGTGGGTGCAGCGTAAGAGCCCAGTCAGACTAGCACTTTTTTGAATCCCATTATTTTATAATAACTTTCACTTCATCAGAAGTGTTACAAAGGCTGACGATGACTTTGCACCTTTAATTGCCTGAGAGAGTTTGTGAAATGGAATACAGGCTTCAGAGCTTCTAGGATAAGGAAAATGCATTAATACAATGGTACCTAGTTCACAACAGAGTTCTTTCATCCACAAAACTGCACAAAGACTTTGGTTCATATTTAAAATAAGATCAACAAAACTGAGCAAATGGAATAAGATTCTATGTTCAGCAGGTGGGAACTGTAAGAGTGATGAAAACCTCCTCGTTCAGTGGGTTAACTCAGGTTTTCTCCGAAATGAAGAACTGGTCTTTAACAACACACAGTGATGCGCAATGATGCTTCACTAAGTGTTTGGGAAATATAAACCTAAAGATGATAATCACCCAACGCCACCATGCCCACTAAACCATGTCCCTAAGCGCCTCATCTACACGTCTGCGCAATGATGCTTCACTAAGAGTTTGGGAAATATAAACCTAAAGATGATAATCCATCTCATCCATGCTCCAACTGCTCTCTACCTACCTGAAATGTTTTTCTGCTTCTGATCAGAAAATTTCAGGAAACCATTACAATTTTAGCAATACAAAGGCCTGCCAGGCACTGAAGATGGGCAGGCTCAGGAAGAGTAAAATATATCAAATATTATCACAAAGCAGATATATAGGTTCATGACTAGTTGTATTTTCTTACTGTGTTCACTGAAATGCAAGATTAAAGAAATTAATTTTAAAACTGATGCAGAATTTCCAACCTGCTGCACCAGGGCACTGGAGAAAATGGGATCCACTTGCAAAATTCAATACACCTTCTCATAGCACTGGGATGGTCCTTCTGCTCCTGAAGCATGTAGGAAGGAAGTCAAGAAGAAAAGAAGTCTGGAACTGAAGCTGTGATCTGGCAGCAGCGGCTTGCCCATACGGGTATCAGAAATACTGACTTCCATTCTTGCTCTCCAGTTTTCAAGTCACAGAATCACAGAATCGTTTAGGTTGGAAAAGACCCTTAAGATCATCAAGTCCAAC